TCCAACAAAAAACCTAGTAATATGGTTATCGGTGCTACACACTTGTTTAATATCTTAAAGAAAGTAAGATTAAACATATCAAAACAGAACAAAACAGTTCAAAAAGAAACAATTTAAAGAAATACAGATTTCAAAGCAAGTCCACTGGAGATCTTCACTGTCTATCTTATTGTCTCTAGTTTTCTTCCAAATAGTTGTCCCCATCTTCACACACACTAAAAACATACTGCATATTATAGAACTAATCAAATCATTACAGGATGATGAAGGCTTTTTAGGTCTTCAAGATCTGACATTGGGGAAGTCAATAATGACTACCATAGTGTTTCTCATTTTCTTCATAGTAGCTGTCCTTATCTTTACGTATGCTGAAATTGAACTTAAAGAGACTAGACTAATATCACTCTGAACAGTGAATTATAATATTGCTAGATTTTATATCATAATGCTACAGAATGAGCACTGGGTTTCTTAGTGTCTCTTCTTTAGAGTATCTGTTCATTACATGTTGCGTTATATAATCTGTTCCCGTAAACAGTTTAAAAAATTCTTCCCATGTGTGAATTTCTACATGTATATCTATCCTCTCTGTATTATAGGGAAAAACAAATCATAACAAGACAGCAAAACAAATTCCTAGAAAAACATGCAATGAAAAAGACACAATATTAGGTGATCTACCGTAGTTACTATGCTTTCTCTTGTTATTTTCAATAGACTTGTTCACATCATCAGGCTTAATATAGTTAGGTATAGTATTACATAGCTATTTTTAGAAAAACACAACTCTGAAAACATTGTAGGACTTGAGAGTGGTTAATAATCAAAATCAGTATGGATATCTTTTACATCTTGTCATCTTCAGAGTAGTTACCTTTACTTTTAGGTTTGATACTATCAAGCATACCAAATTCAAATAAAATCAGCCAAGGCAAAACTGCAGTCTAATGAATCAGATTCAAATAAGATCAGTCATAGTAAGACAGTGTAAGTAATACAGGGTTTCAGTTTAAGTTAATAGGAAATTAAGGATAGTTACCATGGTATAACCTGCTATTTTGGGGGCAGATGTCGTTCCCTCAAATCTGATATAAGTGGACAGACCAGAACACAATAAATTCACACTAAGCAGAGTGATAAGACTACTGTAACTTTTAAATCCTTATACACTATTTACAATGACCTCTGCCTTTATAGTGTATCAAAGCCATAGCTTACCGTCTCTGCCTCATGTCTGCTATTCCACTTTACTGCTATAATTTGTCCACCTTACTCCCTCATTCCATTGTCTGCCCCATTCATTGAGGCCTCTCTGCCACTGTTGCTGGAATCCTGATATCTCTTCCTCTCTTTCTCTGGAATGTCCTTCAGCACTCTCTGTAGGGTTGGGTTGGTGGCCATGAACTCCTCCAGTTCCTCCTTGTCTTGGAAGCATCTTATTTCTCCATTAGTTTTGAGAGAGAGTTTTTCTGGGTACATCAGTCTTGGTTGCAAATTATTTTCTTTCAGGGCTTGGACTATTTCCCCTCAGGCCCTTCTCGATTTGAGAGTTTGTGTTGATAAGTCTGTTGTTATTTTGATAATTTTCCCATTGTAGGTAATCTGCTTCTTTTTGCTGGCTGCTTTTAGTATTCTGTTCTTTTGGTGGATTTCTGGAATCTTGATTATTATATGTCTGGGTGTAGATCTGTTTTGGTTGTAGGTGGCAGGAGTTCTGTATGCCTCATTTGTCTGGATATCATTTCTTTTTCCTATGCTTGGGAAGTTTTCCTTTAATATATCTGTGAATATTCTTTGTATTTCATTTTTAGTTGCTCCTGCTTTCTCACTCACATGCTTTATTCTTTTTAACTTTTTATCAGTACCAGGGATCGAACTCATGATCGCCTGCTTACAAGGCAGGTGCTTATGCCACTTAGCTAAATCCCCAGCCCCTCACATGCTTTATTCTTAAATTATGTATCCTTTTGTCATCTTCTAGCCTTTGAATTGTTTCTTTCTGGTTCCTTGTTATTTTTAAGAGGTCTTTTCTTTCACAGTCATGTATCACAAATCTCTCTTCAAGTTTCAAAGGGCTAACTTTAGTTTCTGTCAAGGCATTTTGCCAGTTTTCAATGGAGTTTTTAGTTTCCTGGTAATCTCTTTGGATCTGTTTCATGTATTCTAGGTTATGTTTAAATTCTTCATCAGAGGTTCCTCTTTCTTTTCTGATTTCCTCCGTTCTTCCATCTGTGTTTTCTTGGGAGGGGCTTATCATTTCTTTAATTAATCTCTTTATATCTTGTCTCATTTGGATCAGAAGTACAGTTTTAAATTCGTCTATGAGGTCATGAAGGTATTTCTTTATATCAACTGATGCTGTGTCTAGTATTGCATTGTTACTGTGCTGGTTCTCTTCTGTGTTTACTTCTCCTGGGCTTATTTTCTCACATTTGGCAGCTGGAGATTTTTTTTTATTTCTATCTCTTGTCATGTTTCTGGTTTCTTTCAGACTGGAGTGTCCTGGGGGTCTCTGGCCCTCTCCGTATTGCTTAGGGCCTTTCCAAAGGGTGCTGACTTGAGTTTTTGCTGCCCTCCCCAATTTGCTGTTATCTGAGGTAGGCAGAGATGCAGGGACAAGGCAGATTAGCCTCCAGCTTCTGTGCCAGTCAATCTGCAAGTTAGGCTGTACCTTGTGGATGTCACAGAGTCGAGATTATTTTGTATCTGGGTCCCAACCAGGGGCATGGTTCAGCCCCAGCAGACCCTTCCAGTTCTCTCTGTGACAGGGGTGACTATCTGATGTTACCACGGCGCCAATTCCAAGATGTCCTCCAGCCAGCAGCAGCAGCTGCAGGACCCAGTCCCTAGTACTCACCGGGACTCAATGCAGATCTTCCTCTTGGGTCCACTGCACATTGTGCCACTTGTTTTCACTGCATTCCCAGGACAGCGTGGATCGGCCAGAAAACTGCATGGTGTCTGGCTTCGGAGCTCGGAGCTTCTCACAGTCTCCTCTGGCACAGCTAGGTGGCTTTGGCTGCTTCATGGGGTCCCAGCTCTCAATTTCCAGCAGTCACCAAGAGCCAATACAGCTTTTCCTGTTGGATCCACTGTTTATTGTGCCATGTCCTCCCATTAAGGGTGCAGGATTCACCTCATCCAGACCTCCTGAAACCTGTCTCATGCATCCATCACTGTATCTATCCATTCGTCTACCCAACCACCATGCCATCTGTCCCTCCAACCAGTCCACATGTCCGTCCATCCATCTATCCATCATCCATCTGTCTGTCCACCCACTCTGATACTGTTCTACTGTGGTAATCTTCTGAGTCAGCCTCCCTCCTCCTAAACTGTAACACCTTTCAAAGTCCTTCCTTTCTTTTTTCATTCCACTTCTGCTCCTGTCACACTGAACCCAAATCAAGAACTTTTTTAGGTTGTTGCTTTGAGGCAGATTCTTGCTATGTAGTCCAGGCTAGCCTCAAATGTGTGATCCTCCTGTCTAAGCCTTCTAAGTACTAGGATTACAGGCATGTGCTACCATGCCATTTGAGACTGTAACTTTTAAATAAGTTTCCCCATTTCCTGGTTCAATGTATTCCAAGCATCACTGCTAAAGCAGTCATTTAAATGATTGCAAATGGCTTGCAGAATCCAGTCTGAAATTATTGACCCAAACCAGAGGCCCATGCCATATCCTCTGTATTGGAACTCCACTTTTAGAGTTAGTGGTATCTTAAGAAAATAGCTTTTCATCTTTTCTTTTTTTTTTTTTTTTGAGGCAGAGTCTCGCCATAGTTTAGGCTTGCCCTTGTACTCTCTAGTAGTAGTCCAGGCTGGCCTTGAACTCGTGGTGATCCTCCTGCGTCAGCCTCCCGAGTGCTGGCATTGTAAGGGTGTCGCCACACCAGGCAAGAGTTTTATAGTGTAACATCAAATGAAATGTATAATATGCTCAAGTGGATCCTAGAAAAAAGTTAGATTGATAGCTTTGAGCTAGTATGAAGTACTGTGTATGTACACACACACACACACACACACACACACACACATGCAGGTGTATTCTGACATGGTTGGTACATGCCTAAGCAGGAGTGAGGCGCTGGGCTCCTGGTCTAGGGACAAGGGTGTGGGACTGAAATGTGGCCTGCCTTTCATCTGTTGAGTTGTCTGCCCTCTTGAGGGACTATGGCATTCTGGGAGTGGCAGTGTCTTCCATCTTACCCAAGACTCCATTCTCGATTATCTTTCTTCCACTGGATGCATGAAAGTGTGAGGGCAGGGCAGGCCTCTGTGAAACAGAAATCACAGCAAGAGCTGTGATTCAAAACTCTTTGAGTTCTGAAATAAGAATTCTCTACTCAACCCCCAACTGCCTTTTTTCCCCAGGCCATAAAATGAGCAGCAGGGCTAGCAACAGCCAGGGCTTCCCCTCCGTTTTGGGAAGGGCATGAAACCCCTTCTCCTTAGTCTAGAGATCGTGCACTGGTAGTTCTAGCTACATGGGAGGCAGAAGCAGGAGGGTGCTCAAGCCCAGGAGTTCAGAACTAACCCTGGCAATAATAGTAAGACCTCCATCGCATAAAAAGAAGAAAAAAATCCTCTGAAGAAAAGTCAGAAGAAAAAAATCCTCTGAAGAAAAGTCCCCTAACAGGGCTGGGGATTTAGCTCAGCGGTATAAGTGAGTTCGATCCTCGTTACCGATTTAAAAAAAAATGTCCCCTAACAAGGACTGGAATGGGAAAGAAAAGATCTAGAATGAACCTGGCACATCTGCAAACCTAGATATGTGGGAGGCAGAGGCAGGAGACTTGGGATAGCTTGGGAAACTTAGCAGGACCCCATTTCAAAAAAAAGAAGGTGGGGGCCGGCCTGAGGGGGGAGTTCATCGGGGAGCACTTGGACAGTGTCCACCAAAGCCCAACCCCAGCACCAGCACAAATGAAACACCTCTCCCTGTTTCCAGTCTCTCCGCTGCCTTCCCTTCCAGGTAAGCCTGCACTTCTCCCTTACAGCCCGGGAACTCCAACCCCACGAGGAGCCCGCCCATCAACCTGAACCACTATGCCACCAAGAAGAGTGTGGCCGAGAGCATGCTGGATGTGGCGCTCTTCATGTCCAATGCCATGCGGCTGAAAGCAGTGCTGGAGCTCGGACCGTCCTCCCAGTACTACACCACCCTCGTCACCCTCATCAGCATCTCCCTGCTGCTGCAGGTGGCCATCGGGGTCCTCCTCGTGGTCATCGGTGAGGAGCCCGGGGGCGGAGGTGGGGTCTTGTGTTTGTACGCCTCGCCCTTTCAGCCCTGCACTAATCCACATCAGCCCTCTGCTCCAACAACTCCGGGGCACTGGGCAGCTGCTGTGCCAGTCCTACCCTCCTCTCGGGTGGACGCACCATGCCCTTGGTGGAATAACCACCCTCCCTGGCTACTGGTGCTGGAGCTCCTGCCCGCCTCTGCTGTGGGCACTGACCTCCCTCCTGAAGCTTTTCATTAGTACATGTTTGCATTTATCTTAGCGGGTAGATACAGGCACTTAACACATCTTAATTTTTTTTAATCCCCCTCCCCTTCCTTCCCCTTCCCTCCATTCCATTTGCAAAACATCTATCTCCCTGTTTCCTACTGTCTGTCTTCTTAAAAATGATATATACTTGGGGTTCTTAGATGAAAAGTTATGTTCTATTTAAGCTCATGTCTGATTTTGTTTACTTAACTTATGGGCTACACAGAGTAGTTCTCCCTGCGTGTAACTTTCTCTACCCACTCATCTGCTGAGGGGCATGCAGGTCCCCTCCAAGCTATGGCTATTAGGAGTTGTGCTGCTATAAACCTGGGTAGACCTGTATCACTTTGTGTCTGTGTATTGTGCAGGAAGATTCAGTACCAAGAAGGGGAGTCTCTGGGTCAAATACAATTCCATTTTTTTTTTTTTTTTTTTTTTTGAGGATCGCCTTACGGATTTCCATAGTACCTGTCCAGTTTACATCTCCACCAGTGTCCAAGGTGCCTGTGGTCTCTTAGAAGATCCAGTTTCAATTCCGGGGAAGCACCATGTGGATGCCCCCCAAACACTGGTCCACAGGGCTGCAGGCACTTCAGCCTCCAGCCTCACACTCCCTTGCACACAGGCGTGCAGTGCACGGTCCTCTCCACACAGTGGCTGTGGCCCCCGCCCTGGCCTTCACTTCCCACTCCCCACTGCTCCACAGCGCGGCTGAACCTGAACGAGGTAGAAAACCAGTGGAGACTAAACCAGCTCAACAACGCTGCCACCGTCCTGGTCTTCATCACTGTCGTTTTCAATGTTTTCATCACAGCCTTTGGGGCACAGAAGACGGGCTTCCTGGCTGCCAGGGCCTCCAAGAGTTCTCTTTGAAGGTGAAGCATGGGACTCCCAAGCAGCCATTCACTCTGCTTGGGGTGTGGGGTCAGAGGGCTGTCCCCTGCTGGGTGAGGGTGGGGCCTGAAAGTCCTGAAACCAGCGACTCCACAGAGCCTGCCCTGGGTCCTTTGCTCAGCACTGAGGACTCCTCCTTCAGTCCTGGGGGACGCTTTCCCCCAGGCTGAGATGGGGTGCAAGAGAATGCAGCTTGTGGGTGGCTCTGTCCTGCTGGCAAAACATGTGGAATTTCTCCTTGCCGCTGCCCAGAAGCCCTCGCCGCTCAGACTGGTCCACTGGCCAGCAGCAGCAGCAGCAGGCCTGGCTGGAAACGCAGCTCTGTAGCCCCCCATCCTGAGCGCCTGGGCTCTGGAGCTTTCGGTAGGATCGCCGAGCTGTCTGGCCTGCCCTCCTCCAGGCTCTCCCGCTTCACCCACAGGACCGCTCCTGTCTGCCTCCTTTGTAGATGCCCTTGGCCCCCGCCCACGGCTCCTCATTCAAGATGTTTGGCTGAGTGAAAGGACTCCGTCTTGGCGTGGACCCGAGTTCAGACTCAGGCTCCGCCAACCTTTCTTCCCAGACCCAATCCTAGGCCCAATCCTTGGCCATGCTGGAGGCAGAATGAGCCCAACCTGAGGACTCAGGTTCTGACTCTGCCCCGTCTCTTCCCTCTGCTCCAGGCCCGTTTCCCTTCCTGTAAAATGAATCGTTTCTCTCCATAAAGACCTCTGCAAACACACTGTGAGTCCATCTTCTGTCCTCAGTGGCCAAGGCTCCAACAGCAGGGCTGCGTGCGCTCTACTTCTGGGTCCTAGAAAGAGCTATTACCTAACTGCAGATGAGTCAGTGCTGGGCTGATGCAGACATTGGGAATCAAAACAGAGGGGAGGGCTCTACTTAAAAATTTATTAAAAATAAATACACAGAGAATTTATTACAGCAAAAAACACATTGCACCCGGGCGTGGTGGCACACACTTGTCATCCCACCACAGGGAAGGCTGAGACAGGAGGATCTCTGTGAGTTTTAGGCTAACTGGACTGCACAGTCAGTTCAAGGACAGCCTGGACTACATACTGAGACCCTGTCTCAAATCCCCCCACCAAAGATACATTGCCATTAATCTCTCTTGTTTCAAAGACACTGACCCCACCATTCTTGTCATTTTCTGAAGCAGTTTCTGAAGCCCCCTTTCATGAGTGTCCTTGCAAAATAAAAATACAGTGAAGGCTGTTGCTGAGAGCCATCCAACCGAGATGCAGACTCCCTAAATACACGGTGCGTCCTCAGCCAGGAGACAGCCAGGACAACACACCTGAAGATACTCACAGAGGAGGACCTCCTTTCAGAACGTTCAAGAAAGAGGCAACAAGCTGTGTTTGAAGTGAGGGGGAGCATCTCGAGAGGGATTAACAGCGATGTGTCTTTCACAATAGTTTTTAAACTATTTAAACATTCATCATATTTGTTGATCACATCGTATATATGCACGATCCTTTTCAAGAATGTCCTATAAACTTTTGTGCCTTTAAGCACACATCTAAGAATATGAACTTTTCATCTCTGCCTAGGTGTTCAGACTGGGAAAGTCAATGTGCACCTATAAAGCAACAGGGCATCGCTAGCCCAAATAGGAATGATTATTTTTTTAGGGTGCTGGGGATGGAACCCAGGGCCCTGTGCACGCCAGGTAAGTCCTTCACCCCTGAGCTACAGCCCTGGCCAGCCCCATCTGCCATTTCTGAACAAGCCCTTCTGCCCTGTACTGCCATCTTCATCCAGGAGGTCTGCAGCCTTTCTCAGCAGAATCACCACCGTCAGTTAACCTCCTGACCCAGTCATTCACTGGTTACCTCCCTGTGAGATACTGGAAGAGGACAATTCCGTGCCCTTTCTAAGTAAACCACGACACAGATAGTGCTGTCCCGGCCAGAGCAGACACCAAAGTAGCAGTAAGGGTGGAGGACAGGAGATGGGAGGAAGAGTCCTTGGCAGGCCCACGAGAGCTGAGGGACAGCGAGGTGATCCTTGGGCCCCTCGGCCCCACCCTCTCCCACCATGAATGCGTGATAGGAAAACACAGGAGCCACTGGTTGGTTTTTCTAAGAAGATGCTGTATTTAATTAATGTCTTCCCTTCCCCCACCCCTGACATATTCCTAAAGGGCAGAGGCCAAGACAGGCCCCTTAAGGCAGATGGTGCGGAAGTAACAAACACAAGGCACTGGCCTAGAAACGGGGTGCAGGCAGGCTGGGCAAACCTCAGGCAGCAGGAGAAATGGAGCCGGAAGGCTGCAAGGACCAGTTCTGACCTCCCAAAGCAGTACCAAGAATGACAGTGGCCCTAGAGAGATCCTGGATGCTAGCTGGCCAGCTGCAGCTCTGCCTGCTGCCCATGGGCCCTTTCCAATGGCAGAAAGCCTAAGCAGGACCCAGGAAAGGCCACAGCCCAGGGGCAGGTAGGACATCCATAAGCACAGCCCCCTGATCCCCCTTGAGGAAGGCAGTGATTCTCCCATGCCCCACAGATATCTGCGGGCTCCAGCCTCCGGTGTGCCAAATCTCTGCTCTTGATGAAGGTAGATGCCCTGGGCAGGCCCTGCAGCTCCAGATGCTGCCCTCTGGTCTGTCGCAGTGTGCCTCAGCCAAGCCAAGGACCTACGGCACTTCCCACAGCCCTTCCCTAAAGCGGGGAGTCCTCCACACTCTTGGGGTTCAAGAGCAAGCACCCAAATGCAAAACTGGTGAGTTCAGCAGCAGCAGAATAGTGCCCAGTCACAAAAGCACCTGGGGTTCATTAGTGCAAGACAAGTGTGTGACCATCATATGGGAGAAATAGGGGGCTACAGACTGCAAAGGCCAGGACTCTTTCCCTGAAATCGCTTCACTTCTCAGTTCCTCCTATCCCCTGCTCCCCCCACCCCCCGGGGAAGGGATCTCCCCATCCTCTGTACTGTCCACTCCCAGCCACCCTCTGCTTCTGCACAGGGTCAGATGTCTGGGCCTCTCCACTTCCCTTCCACCCCCTGGCCTCTTCGCCTTAGTGTGAGGAGCACTGCTACATCCTGGCCAAATTCTCTTTGCACAGCACGCATGGTCTTTCCAGAGGCTTCTGCCCAGTGTGAACCTGGAAGGGGAGGGGGTCTCTCTCTGGTCCTCTTTACCCTGCCCATTTTGCAGGGCCACACTGTAACCACCACCGGATGGACTTACTGCCTTCCAGACCCCACCTCCCTCCTAGCCCACCCCCCTTACCAGGAAGGCAATCCCAGCTCTGTGCTTCCAGTCCCAAGTTAGTGCCATCAGGAGGACTTAAATTAATGCCCTAAGGGTGGCCAGCAGTTCAGTGGCCACCAGGAGAGATGTGTTTGGAAGGCATGAGCCTGGGCGAGAGCCAGAACTGCTCCACATAGGACCAGCACCGCTGAAGAGACAGTGCCCGAGGGCCACACTGCAACACACAGTGTGCCTGAGGTTTGCAAGTAGGGACCCCCCGCAGCACGACTCCCGGTCGATGCCAGCTCTGCACTGCAGTTCACAGCCAGCGCTCCTTCTGGCAAGCACTGAAGGACAATGAGATGAGGGCAGGACTGTCCGCACAGGTCTCTTCTCGCTGACCTCACCCCTCCATCGTCTCAGGAGCCATCCATCTCTGTTGGCCGAGCGAGTGGCAGAGGAGCCCTGGTGCCTGTCTCCACATGAGGGGCAGCTCCCGGTGGAGAGGAGCTCAGCCCCAAGGCCTCTGGGGACCCAGGCATTCTTCTGCTCCCTTCTTCCTCTCCTCTGCAGTGAGCAGGGCACTGGGAAACACCCCCAAGTCAAGGAGCCGTGGCGGTGGATCCAGCCAGCCCCACCGGGGCTCACGGCATCTTCACTTGGCGGCGGTTCCACATGCCTCGCTTGGAATGGAAGTGATGGAAGAAGTTCCTGAGGGAGAGACGCTCCACCTCCAGGCCTGCTTGGAGGATCCTGCAGAGGGAGGGAGGGAGTAGGGGGTGAGCCCGCAGCCCTCGGAATCCACCCTTCCACCTGACCCCCGACCTCCTTTCCCAGGAACCTTTCCTCCTTTTCCTTTCTCTTTCTTTTACAGGGCTGAGATGGACCCGAAGGCACACGCATGCCAAGCAGGGCTCTGACGCTGAGCCCCTTCCAGCCCAGCCTGTTCCCTGGCTGCATGCACAGTCCCCGGGGAGCAGTTTCTTTCTTGCTGGACCTCAGAGAAATCCAGAGGAATAGGAATTACGCTGGAGGTCTGTGCTGAAGCACGAAGCCAGCACAAAGACTAAGGGCGACACAGCTGTGGCACTGAGCCTCCTCCAGTCACACTCCAGCTTTATGAGATCAGAGTGGTCTTCACTCCCTCCACTCCCGCCCCTCCCACTCTTAGTTCTCTGAGTGTGGCCACTGTCCTTTTCTTTCTTCCCTCCATGGGAAAACCACCAACAAGCTGCTTTTTAAGCCTCTGAGACTTTAGTGAGAGGTGTGGGACCAGCTGTTAACTACTCTCTGTGACTTGGTTTTCTCCTCGGAAAAATGGGGATGCTCGTACCTCATAACAAGGTACGACTCCTCTGCAAAGCAAGGCACCCCGTGACAGTGCTGCACTCTGCCCTGTGTCTCAGGAAGAAGGGTCTATCTTCCCGGACAGGTCCACCGCTTCCAGGACCCTCCCAACATTTACGCCCTTTCTTTCCCCCTTACTGTCCTTTGCTTCTTCCTCTCAGGATCAAAGCTCAAGGTACCACGTTCTTTTCCTTCTTCTAGTGCAAACTTTTTTTTTTTTTTTTGATACAGGGCTGATCCACCACTATACACTGGGCTGGCTGATTTTGAGAGCAAGGATTATAGGTGTGCACCACCATCCCTGGACATAGCAAATTTCCTTTTTTTTTTTTTTTTTTTGGTACCAGGGATCGAACTCATGACCTTGCACTTGCCAGGCAAGTGTTTATGCCACTGAGCTAAATCCCCAGCCGAGCAAATTTCTTAAAAAAAGAAACTTACACAAATGTGGAGAGAAGCTTCTTCACTACCACATGTTCCTCCCTCCCCACAAACCAGCATCCAGTTCAGCCTCGCTCCCTGCCAAGCCTGCAGTTTATATTGAGTTCCATGCTCCTCTCCTCTCTCAGGCAAAGCCTCTCCAACCTTAGCCTCCAGGGATTCGGTGCCCCTGGGAACTGCAGCACCCTCTAATGGTCCACACAATCTCTTGCTGGCCCCCGGCATCTTTTCTGACCTTCACCTATGTTATCCTCACCCTCTCCTCCAGGTGGTGCTGGCGGGGAGGAGAGCTGGCCAGGCTTGTCTTCACCCGCTTCCCGCCTGTGCTGAGAACGCTGCTACCTGCATTTGCACAGCTCTGCTTTTCCTCTGACGCTTACCAACCTTTAACTTTAGTGGTCGCACTAGCCCTGTGACACAGACAGCAGGAGCGTCCTCCCCTCTGCAAGCTGAGTGTGAGCCACCTGACAGCACTGGGATGTGTGACCCCAGTGCAGCTGGGCTGATCCCACCCGTCCCTTCCCAGAGCACCATGCCAAATGGAATCCTGCAGCTGCTTTGGACAGCCCCCTCCCCCGTCACCTGTCAAGCAGCTCCCAGTCTTCTCCACCCCAGCGGTCTCGGAACTCCCTGGTGTTCATGCCCCCGATCTTGTCCAGGTCTGACTTGTAGATGCCAAGTAGTCCAAAACCGTTCACCTCCCAGTAGCCTGTGAACAGCCAAGAAGCCGCAGTGAGCCAAGCGGGGCTGGGAGGAGGACTGGAGGCCGCTGACCAGCTATAGGCTCTGAGGGGAAGCAGGGGCCAAAAACTCTCTGCTGAGCAAACACCTTGCCTGTGGAGGGAAGGCCCAAAACTGAGGTTCAAGGTTCAGCAAATGCAGCAATGGCCCCAGGCTGGTCTCAGGCCCACGGTTAGATATGACAGCAGCAGCCTCTCTGAGCTACTGTCCACTTCCATCTCTACAGGCAGGGAGCCTCTGGCCGTGACCTGTATAGCACCCTAGGGCCCAGCATTCGCATATGATAGGTGCTTCCTCGGTGTCTGACAAGCCATTGAGGGAAGAGGGGCAGAAAGCATTCACTGCTGCACCGGCTGCTCTGGCGGATGGTCCACCAGGGCTGGGCGGCAAGAGGTTCTGACATTCACCAATGTGGCTGCCTGCAGCTCTGAGGTTAGGAACCACGGGGAAGAGGCGTTCGCACCTCCCAGATGCAGGGCAGGACTCACCCTCAGGCCACCACGGGGTGGCCCCGCAGTGCAGCCTCATCACCATGGGGGCAAAGGCCATCTTGCCCTCCACGCAGTGCTTCCGGATGGTATCGATGACTCCAGCAGGGAAGTAGATGTGGAGGTCACAGAGGAAGATGATGCTGTGTGGGTCCTGAGGGCAAAACAGCGGGGTCACCAGACCCTCAGAACTCGTAGGGGAGCCCTCAGGCCCTGCCTTATTACAATGACTGGCAAACCTGCCCAAACCCACGTGCCGGGCAGCTATCCATAGTTACAGCGGCGTTCTCACCGTCAGACAGTGAACCCCGCTCCTCTCCCCGCTGTTTATGGGCTCCGAGGACCCTGACAGATGAAAATGCCCTGCTGTCATCTGCGTAGTCCCACTCTGCCACTGATTGCACAGGAAGCAGAGAAGATGCTCCTTGCTATGGTTTGGGCAAGTGTTCCATGAAGGGCCATGTGTTAAAGGCTGGGTTCCCGGCCTGTGGAGCCACTGGCAGGTGGTGGAACCTTTGGCAGGTAAGGGCTATGGAAGAAGTGGCTCACTGGAGGCATGGGACTTTGGGCTCTTTCTGTCTCTCTTTTTCGCTTCCCTGTTACCAAAAGATGAGCAGCTTCCTCACCCAAAGGCAATGGGGCCAAATCTTTGTGGGCTGAAATCGTGAATCCAAATAAACCTTCCTTCCTGTTAAGATGATTTTCTCGGTCTTTTGTTACAGTAAGAGAAAGCTGACTAACACACTCCCAGGTCCTATTTCCTTTCCCCCTGAAGGGCTGACTACCTACACGAAGTTCTCTCTACCTCTTCACCCATTTCCTGACCTCTTTCCAGGCCACTTACCTTTACCAGGTCAATGCCAGCCTGAAGTCCAGCCGAACGCTCAAAGTTACCACTGAGTTTCACGTACTGGTAGCTACAGAAGGACAGAAAGGAGGAGCTGAGTGTTAGCAGTCAGCTGCTGGGGTAAAGATGATAAATGCATCTGTGGTGAGATTATGGACACGGGAGCCCTGGGAAAGAACTGAAAACTAGAAACTAGGAAAGCCAGGGAAACTAGGGGCAGCGCACACCTAGGATTTCAGGAAGGAGGTGCCCAGGCTGTTCCCTGGCCATAGAGCAGGGAGGTGGGAAGGGTGTCCTCACCTCCGTAGCTGGGACCTCTTCAGGGCCATCTCAACGTCCATGTCCTCACTGCTGTAGTCAGTGATGATGATGTTGAAGTGTGGGTCGCCAGTGACTTGAAACAGGTTCTCCATGTCTCTGATGAACTGCTGCACCCAGCGCGCCTGGTTCTTCACTACCCCAGTGCACCAGGCAGAAAGAAACAGAGGTAAGAAAAGATGAACATCTCCGCTCTCAGCTCCCACAGGAGTCGGAGTCCCCACCAGGCCCCTGCTGTGAAGATAATACAGCTTTCAGGAAGCCACGAGCAATGCACCAGAGACCTGAAGGAGAGCAGCGGCGCGCTGTGAAAGGGTCTCTGTCGTCTCCCCGCACGATCCCAGGCAGGCGCAAGAGAGGGCCTTGGGCCGGAGTCACAGCAATCCTGCCAGGCTCAGACAGTCTATCTTACCTTCTCTCTCTATTTCCTGCCCTACCCCACTGCTACACCCCTGCCTCTTTTGTCTTTCCTTCTCATCCTCAAAACCACTTAGGGCTTGGCACATGGTTCAGTAGAAGAGCCCTTGCCAAGCTTCTGCAAGGCCCTGGCCTCCATGCCCAGCACCAAAAAAATAAAACCATTCTATCTAGTACTCTTAGTGTTGTATTTCCTCCACAACAACCCCAAGTGATGACCACACCCAACCATGAAACCTAGTCTGAAAGAAAGAGCTCCAGCCATCGAGTCAATATCTAGTCTCAGCTCCATTTGCTTGCCGTCACCTTAAGTGCACTTCTCTCTGCTGAGCTTCATTTCCTCTGGGGAGAGCAAATCAGGGAAGAGTGCCATGGTAACCACCCCGCAGAGGCTCACCAGGCACCACGAAGTGGACCACAGCTCTGTGATTCCAGGAGAACCCCTGGGGCCAACACAGCTTGGGTTCGGGATCCCGCATGTCCAGGACATTCCTCCGCTGCCGGCTGCGGGGCTTCCAGACCAGGCCCTGCAGGTTCCTGGCCTCTTCTGCACCAGCTGGGTCGATGCCCTGCCAGCCTCGTGTGGACACATACTCAGACAGCCGTACCACGCGCTGTCCTTGCTCCAGCAGCTCGAGCTCCAAGAGGTAGCGGCCCCCACGCAGCTGGTCCTGACGCTTCTCCACGTTCACAATGCGCTGCAGCTGGTACCTCCTGTGGCACAAAGGGTGGAGCCTTGAGTGGTTCCTCCCCACAGTGCAAGGGCAGCCCAGTGTGCTGGAAGCCTGCAGGCCCTTTATTTTGGTTTGTGTTTGGACATCCTGCAAAGCCTCATGTGGTCATGGAGGTGGCTGAATCTAGTGTTTGTGGTTGGTTTGTTGTCTAGCACTGGGATTGGCGATGTGAGCACAGCACCAGCTGAGGGGCAGGGAGCTGGCATACGATATAAAGAAGGGAAGGAAGCAGTGCTTCTCCCTTTTGCCCTTTTCATCTGCTTGCAGTTGCCTTGAATAGTGCCCCTTAGCCACGCCATCCTGTCTTGGAACCAGCTGAGTATGGACTGAAACCAACACAAGCTGTGAGCTAAATAAATCTTTCCTCCCTTAATTTTAGGTGTTGGGTATTTTGTTGTTGGGTCCCAGCAGCAACAACAAAAAAGTAACCCAAGACACCCATTGTCAGGAGACTTGATTTTTGTCCTAGCTTTGCCATTGGCTAGAGGTAGGGATCCAGGCAAGAGATACCTGACATCTCTAGGTCTCACATCTTCCATCTTCAAAAAAGCACTACTTAGCTGAGATCATCTCCAAGAGCTTTGGCAGCTCTGCGATCATCGGTAGACAGGCTGAATAAGGTCACAGTGCAGAAGTCATCAGAGAAAATGACCTCAATAATAAATGAGCTCTGTTCAAATGAAAGGTCTGTAAGATGCATTGGGTTATTACATAAATATTAAATGGTTAGCTCAATGTCATTAGTCACTAGATAACTGATATCAAAATCACAAACAGCATGGTAGTGGCATAAGAAACAGATAGACTGGTGGAACGGAATAGAGAACACAGAAATAAACCCAGCACCTTTGGCAAGAACCCACATTGGACAGAGGGTGCTGGAAAAAGTGGATATGTATGCACTAAAGAATAAAATTAGGTCTCTGTTTCTCACCATAAAAACACATAAAAGACACCTCAAAGTGAGTCAGACATAAATGTAAGGCATGAAACTATGACACTTCTAGAAGAAAACAAAGGGGGAAATGCCTCAGGCCATTGCATGAGGCAAAGATTCTTTGCATATTACTTCAAAAGCACAGATGACCAAAGCAAAAGTTGACAAACAGAACTACATCAAACTAAAAAGCTTCTATACAGTATAGGGAATATTCAACAGCATGAAGAAACAACCTTCAAACAAAAAAAAAAGAAAGAAGAAGAAAAAAAGAAACAACCTCCAGAACTGGAGAAAATATCTGCAAACTGCTCACCGAACAAGGAATCAACAACCAGCGTACCCGAGTATAACAGGCCTCACAACTCAACGGCGAAACACAAGTCATCTGATTTATAGCTGCATGAATGACCTGAGTAGACATTTCCTTTTTGTTATTTGTTTTTGTTTGTGTATTTGCTTTTGTGGTACAGAAGATCAAGTTCAGGAATGCTTTGCCTCTGAGCTATGTCCCCAGCATCCCCCCTTTTTTTTATATTTTGAGGCAAGGTCTTCTAAGTCAATAAATTGCCCAGGCTGGACTCAAACTAGTGATACTCCTATCTCAGCCTCCCAGAGTGCTCTGGTTTACAAGCATGTGCTACCATGCCCATGTCTAAATAAACAACTTCTGAGAGGCTTTAGGTGGCACATACCCATATTCCCTGCAGCTGGAAGGTGAGGCAGAAGGATTACAAATTCAAGGCCAGTCTGGGCTACAAAATGAAACAAAACACATTTTAAAGAAACAGGATATGCAAATATAAAGGAGTCTATAAAGAAAAAATTCAGCCAGTCTTGGTGGTGCACGATTATAAACCCAGCACTCCAAGAGGCTGAGGCTGGAGATGTCACATTTGAGCCTATCCTGGGCAACTTAGCAACTTGGTGAGCCCTGGTCTCAAAATCAAACATATTAAACAAAAGGGCTGGGTATATATCTCAGTGCAAAGCCTTTTAAATTCAATCCCCAGGACTGCAAAACACACAAACAAAATGAAATGAAAGACTCAACATCACCAATTATCAAGGAAATAGAAATCACGACCACAGTGTCAAAGAGAAACAAGAACAGAAATATGCCAGGGAGAACGTGGAGGAAGGGTATCTATCACAGATACCGTCGGTGAGAAAGCAGGACAGCCACAGAGGTGGTAAGCACTCCTGTAACTCTAGGACTCTTGAGAGGCTGAGGCAGGAGGCCTGCCCAGTTGGAGCTCAACCTGGACAACTCAGTGACCTAGTAGACTTTACTTCTTATTTTATTTATATCTCTTTATTTATAGGAGGGTGCCAGGAATCAAGACTCACGATCTTGCACTTGCCAGGCAGAGGCTTTGTGCAGAGCTAAATCCCTGGCCCATGAGACTTTATTTCAAAGTAAAAAAATACAAATAGGAGGCTGGGGCAGTAGCTCAGTATGAAGTCCCTGGGTTCGATCCCTAGTACCAAATAAAAAAATAAAATCCCCTCCACCAAAAAAAAAAAAAAAAAAAAAAAAAAAAAAACTGAAACCAAACCCCCACACAACAAATACTAGAACTGTCATAGGGGCCAGCAAACCCCACCAGTGGGCACACACCCATAGGACTGAAGTCACCGTGTCAGAGATACCTGCGCTTACATGTTGGCAGTAGCACTGTGACAGCAGCCAAGACAATCAAAACCAGAATCACAACAGCGATGGTGTTCACTGACCGATGAATGGGTAAAAACAATGTGCTAGGTATGCGTGCACACACACACAGGAATGTCATTCAGCAATCAAGAAAGAACAACACTGTTCTGTCGTTTTCAGCAATGTGGATGGAACTGGACGACATCGCAGGAAGGGAGATCAGTTAGACAAAGGAAAACAAACATCGCGTGTCCTCGCTTACAGGCGGAAGCTAAAAAGTTGATCTCACAGACGTAGAGGGTAGAACAGTGGTTACCGGAGCCTGGGAAAGGTGGAGGGAAGGCGGGGACGGAGACAGGATGGTTAACAGATACAGGGGTGCAGCCGGACAGGAGAAATAACTTTCAATGTTCTACAGCGTGGTAGTGTAAAACCATGGTGGGAAAACACTGATTATTTCAAAGTAGCTAGTAGAGAACATTTCCAGGGTCCCAACACAAAGAAACAACAAATATCTGAGGTGACAGATAAGCCAATTCCCCTGCTCTGATCATGACACAGTGTATATATGTATTAAAATGTCTTTCACGACCCATAAATATGCACAGTTACCAAGTATGTATTCAAAGGAAAACCGTGACACCTGCTGTGGTACCACATGCTTGGGAGGTTGAGGAAGGAGGACCAAAAGTTGGTAGCCAGCTGGGCAACTCAGTAAGACCCTGCTTCAAATAAATCGAAAAGAACTGGGAATGTAGCTCAGTGTTCCCTATGTTCAATCCCCAACACCAGGGAAAATTGTTAAAATACAAAATTAAGTGAAAATATGAGCCAGATATGGTATCACACACCTGTAACCCTAGCTACTTGGGAGGCTGAGGCAGGAGGATGGAAAGTATGAGCCCAGCCTGAGCAACTTAGCGAGAACTTTTCTCAAAATAAAAAAAGTAAGAAGGCTCGGGTTATAGCTCAGTGGTACAGCACCCCTGAGTTTGATCTCTGGTACTGAAATCATCACTGCACGACTGGTGGAATATTGAAATAATTTATAATTACTGAAGGACCAATGTGAAGCCAGTAGCAGTTTTATTAATTATTCACATCAGCTGACTGGGTTAAGGTTACTGCAGAAGTAAACACAGTTTATTTATAGTATTTTGTGTGTGTGTGTTTGGTTTTACACTTTACACTGTGTATCTGTGCCAAAAGTGCGTAAGACTTGCTTTGTCAGAATTACCAACAAATCAGACTTATGGACGACCATAAATCAGGAATTTACAATAATCCACTTACATGGAACATCTAGAATAGATAAATTAGTAGAGACAGAAGGTAGATTCCTGCTCATCAGAGAAGGAGTAGAGAGGAATGAGAAGTAACCACTCATGGGCATGGAGTTTCTTTCAAATTCCTTTTTTCTGAGATGGGCTCTTGCTGTGTATCCTAGACTGACTCAGACCTTCTGGGCTCAGATAATCCTCAATCCCCCACCTCACTAGAGGGACTCAAGAGTGTGCCGGCATTCCTTACGAGGTGATGGAAATGGTCTGGAATTAGACAGTGGTAGAGCTGCACATTCTCGTGAACCACACAACTGCACACTCTACTGTGATGGATTTAATGGTCCACAAATTTTACCTCAAAAGAAGGCTGATTGGCTGAATGAATGAATGAATGACCAAAACAACCCCAAAGAACTCTAGTCATATCTCCTGCCCTTGTCCTTCTAACCTACAGCTGGAGTCTTAATTTGTAGTTTTAGCTCCCCCTTTACCTGTTGGCCCCTGAGAAGGCCATTTAAAAGAAACACATCTACCAGCCTTCCCAGGCCTCAGCATGTGTCCTGGACCAGGTTCCTGGGGTTGCAGAGATTTGCCTGACTGTGCCCAACACCGCAGGGGGCAGGACTGCCAGGGGGTTATGCTGCCTGGCTGGGGGTCAATTTCCTCTCTTCCTGGAGCAGAAGAATCTGCCCCCAGCCACTGGGCCCCCACTCTCCCGGCTGGCCCTGCCATGCCCAGCCCTGACCCTGAGAGAGCCCTTTACCTTACCCCCAGCTCCTCTGGTTGAGCTTCTTCAAGAAGACCCTCGTGACCTCAAGGGCCTCCTGCTCAGGCAGCAGCAGGTTGCCCGACGTGTTACAGTTCAGGTCAATCCAGTCGGTCCTTAGGGCTTGGAAGTCCAGATTCTGGGCACTGAAGGTCTGGTCCCAGTTGACTACTGGGTCAAACAGAGGTACATACTCGAACACGTCACTCATGTCATCTTCCTCCTCTTCTTCCCCTTCTTCCTCTCCTTCCACTGGTCCATCCTGATCTGCAGCTGCCACCTCCTCCTCTTCCCCCGGCCACCCCCCATCGTGGTCCTGTGCCTCCAACCCATCACCCCTCCTCTGCTGTGCGATGTAGGTGTCTACTTGCTTCAGCCACTGAGACTGCTCCAGAGTCTTCCCGGGACTGCTCCTCGTGGGCCTGGGCCTCTTAATCAGAGGTAGATTCTGTGCCAGGTGCCCAGGGGCCTGCTTGTCTGAACGTGGGGAGTCTTGGCCGGGTGCAGGGCTGGGTGTTTGCTTTCTTTTTTCCCGTGGCTGGAGGGTGTCGCTGCTCCTCACTGGGAAGGAAGCTGTGGAATTTGGCCTGGGAAAGCGTAGCCACAGGTCCCCTGGAGGCAGGGCCAGGAGCTTCCTCAGGCTCCGGAGGCGGTAGTCAGTGACATTCTGCCTGGGAGTAGAGGTAGGCACTTGTTTTCTTTGTGTCTTGGTGTAGCGGTCAAGGGAGACAGGAGCTTCCTCTGCCACGTCTTCATACTGAGGTTCTTCTAGAAGGTTGTCCTCAAAACCTGTTGTTAATAATAACCATTCCTTGCATCAGGAGTTTTCAACCTTTTCCTAAGACATACAAGACAGCTGGTGACCACCCGTGTGAGACAGTGAGGCACCAGATGGGGACTAAATGCAGGCATTGCCATTTGTGTGATCCTGAGCAATTTCGTCAACCTCATTTAACCCCAGTTTCTTTATTTACATAAAAGCTATAAAACCTGTCTCTCAGAGGGCTGCTAGGAAGGCTGAATGATCAAATACACAAAGTGCCCAGCAGATGCCCGGATCCTTTCAGAAATCCAACAAATTGTCCCAGCCATGCTTCAGAACCAAGAAGAAAGACCACGGGAAGACAGAGCTTCTCCATGGCAGAACATCTTAAATGGCGTGCCAGGGACAGGGAGCCCCTCCAGCAGCCCACCTCCTGGAGGGCTGACCCCTGTTAACAATGAGTGCCATGGCCTACGTGGACCTTGGTAAGGAAGGTAAAGGTGAGCGGTTGCTTTCCACTCCCCTGGGTGCAGGAAGAGCCATGCAGGTGGCTGCTGAGCCCCTTGGAGGCAAGGCTTTGTGGGCTGAACTTTCCTGGAAATAGACTATGGTCACCCTCCCAGCCTGGAAGGCTCAGTGGTCGCTCTGTACCTGGATGCTCTGGTCCCTGCTTCTCTGGCTGGTCAATCTTGATGTACTCCTGGAAGCTGAACCTGCAGAGACAGGGACATGTGGAAGGGAAACTGGTGCCTTGAGACTCGGTCTTAGGCACAAGAAGGCTCCAAAAAAGTGTGTGTGTATGTGCATGCATGCATGGGTATGCCTGGATGTATGTGCCTGTGAGACACACCCAGGAAGAACGCGGGCTCTTTGGGCTGGAGGGCACATGTGACCACATACGAGAAGCCAGGCAGCTCCATGACCTTTAGCCCATTTAGGGCCACTTACCGGTCCTGGTAGTAGGCATTTTCCTGGTAGAAGCACTTGTTATGGGTCTCCATGTGGCTCAGGCGGGTGTAGTCATTGGGATAAACAAAGGACAGATGAATCTGGAGGTGGAGAAAGCAGAAGCAGGAGTAGGAGGTAAGAAGATCCTGGAAGGAGCCAGCTGGCTGCAGTTGACTCTTCCCGGCGAGCCTCGCCAGGGCTTCTCAGGGCCTGCCCACATGGGCAGTGAAGGGCTGCGTGGAGTACTAGATAAACTACTAGGCTATGCAGCCCAGGATTCCCTTCTACTCAGAAGCAATCCTGAGTCAAGATCTCTAGTCTGCATCACTCATCATGTGTCCCTGCTCACACCTTGCAGCAGCAGCTGAGACCATTCCCTTCCCCTCAGCCATCTGAGCCTCTCCTGCCCCCCCCCACAGCCGGCGCACCCCTCTTCTCACTGACTGCTAGCCTTAAACACAGCTTGAGGTCACTGTCAACACAAACGCTGCAATTATGACCCCTCACGCTCCGGCTTCTGATAACCCTACCACCGTCCTATATCCAGCTCCCCTAATCATTTCTAGATCTGGACAGATAACGTACATCCTGCCTCTGTAGGCTGTAAGTCCTCTAAAGCCAACCACCCCCTGGTTCGCTGTTTGCATGCCACTGCCTGGTAGGACTGAGCAAGCAGGACAGGGCAGTGTGACTGTGACCCTCAGTGCAGTCACTGGTCTGCCTGACATCACTGGAGCAGAGCTGAAGGTGGGGGTCCTAAGGCAGAGCACCCATTCCCAGGCTCTATAGACAGCCCACCCGTTCACCCAGATCAGGCCTTGAGGAATGCTCGTCCTCCCAGTGCAGGGAACCTCCCCGGTGAGGCCATCCACCAGGCTGAGACATGGGAGAGCAGTGAGCAGCTCAGGCCTTCCCAGCCCAGCCCCAAGCAGCCACCCCCTCCAGTCCTATGGCACCCGGGCCCCAAACTTACAAAACGGAGACCCTGGTAGCGCTGCAGAGGAAGCCCATCTACCAGGTAGCTGGGTTTGTAGGGACAATCAGGCAGGACATGGCGGAGATGGGACTTGGGGATCAGAGGCACTGGGGAGAATGAGGGAAGAGGATTGAAGACGGGAGGTGAGTGCCTCGGTGGGCCTGCCTGGAGCCACGCAGGCTCCATGCTCAGGGTGAAGGCTGCAGTCCTCGGCCCTGAGAAGCCATTCTTTGGTATTCTCTCCTGGCGGCTCCAGCCAAACTCATGGGCTGAGGCTACAAACCAAGGCTGGCACCACTCCTGGAGGTTGGCATTCAAGGTACACCGTGGTGGCAGAGGAGTCAGGACACAAGCATAGCACGACTCTGGAGTCACTGTATACGGCTGGCCCCTAAGGTCTAGGGACTTCCTTCCACAAGACCACAAGCCTAGTACAGGGCTGTGACTAAGTCTCCCACAAATTCTCTGCAGCTTTCGGTTGTCCCTTCTTCCTTCCTTCCTTTATAAAGGAGAAAGCAGAACACTGCCATGTAAACATGTAACACGGAAACATGCCTGGGCCGGAAGTGTAGCTCAGCACACGATTAGCGTGCTCACAGCCTCAGGTTCTATCCCCAGCACCAAAAAGAAGAGAGAAAGACAACACATTTCTCACTGAATCAAGAGAGTAGGAATCTACTAAAAGACTCATGTTTGTAGTAGAAAGATGCGTGGGGACTTCTGAATTGTAATTCTACTTCTTGTCCTAGAGGATGGATATGCAAATTCACCCTGTAATGGTTTACTGAACTGTAAAACAGGACATTAATGTTTGTGTACTCTCCTCTACACTTGTTACATTTTACACCACAAGGGAAAAGAGTCTGTGACTCGTGATGCCCTGACAGAATGAACAAGTCTCCCAGTCTCCCCACCAGCAGCTCGAGAGCGGCAGCACCCTGTTCCCTGGACAGAACGGCAGCGTGCGGCAGAGGCCTCACCTCGGTAGAGGGTGTCCCGGGGATCGGGCCGCAGCATGTCGGCTGGAGGCTGCTCGTCCACGGGAACAGAGCTGGAGGCGCCTGTGTGGCTGGCTGCTGTCTGTGGGATGTGGCCCACTTCATCCATCCGTAAGATAGTCTCGTCTAGGGCCAGGAGACAGAGCAGACAGAACTGTGAGTCCTGGAAGAATTCAGCTTGCAGCCTCCGAGGGACAAGGGGAAATGACCTCTGTGTTCCGGCTCAGGCCCTCTTCCCCCAGGCCTGCCCCAACTAACTGTGGCTTCTGCTCTCCACCTCCCTTTGATGCTCTGCCACCATCTTTACCGCTGGCCCAATTTTGCACAAGTTGGAAAAAGTTATCTCTTCCTCAAATTACTGCACTGCAGATAAAAATGTTTCATTGTGTTTAATTTACATAACCAACACTTACACTCTCCTTTCCTGTCTCCCTTCCTTTCTTCCTGCTGGGGACAGAACAAATGCCCTACCACTGCGCTATACCCCAGCCTCCCAGTACCGCTCTAAGTCTTTTACAAGTATTGACCCATTTCAAAATTATCCTATGAGTTATGTAGAGGCTGACTATCCCCTATTCACAACACCTGGGACCAGAAGTGTTTCGGTTTGGTTCACAAACAAAAGTGTTTGGCAAAATTTTGTTTGTAAATTCTACATTGAGAGACATACACCATCACAGACATCTTTTCCAAAATTGTTGAACAAATTAAGTTTGTGAGCTGAAGAACCACTATATCTGTGGAGGCTTTAACCAGCTGGAAATTCCCAATCTAAACATCTATCAGGTGTTCAAAGAGTTTTGGGTTTCAGAACATTTCTGATTAGAATTTCCAAGTTAGGAATGCCCAATCATTTCTGTGCTACAGACTTTGACAGGGAGAATCTAAGTCGTCTGCCTACGATCACAGAAACAATAAGTGGGAAAGCCAACTTCGAACCCAGCCAACCAACTTCTCAATTACTGCGTGCAAATCAATGACTTCCATGAACGCGGGATCACACTCTGGTATTTTTATCCTCAAGCCCACGCACATCAACCTTTTCTGACCAAGCCACCTGGAGGCGGGCTGCCTGTCTCCCTCTGCCTCAAATTATTTGTCTGAAGCCCCAGGTAGGGTGACAGAGCTCTGCCTCCCACTCCCAGGGCTGGCTGCTGTGTCTGCACCCCTGGTTCTCCCCGAACTCTGTTATACTCTCTTTGTCTTGGTTCACAATGAACATGTGACTCCCACCACCCTGCCTTTCCTCCTGCCTCACCCTGAGGGTTACAGCCTAGCCCTCTCCCCTGACTTCATGGCCTCTTGTCACTACCAAGTTTCTGTCATTAGCCTGGAAGACACACATGGAGTGTCTCCAGCTGTCCCTTGAGGGTCTGCCTGCTTTTCCAGTACCTGCCATGGAAGCTGCCTACAGACACCTTCATTTAGTTTTTTTGGTGGTGCTAGGAATTGAACCCAATGCACTGCAATGCTGAGCAAATGCTACACCACTAAACTGCTTCCAGCTCCACAAATTACAGTGCAGCCAGTGGATGAGTCTTGCTGAGGAGGTGACAAGCAGTGAAAAGCACAAACGAAGGGCTCATTTCCTGCACATTTAAAGTAGGTGAACTATGAGTTTGAAGTACAGTTACAAACAGGGGCTGGATTCACTGATGACTGTTTTCAGCCTTGAAGACTGAACCGAAGGCCTAGCACTGAGTTACATCCTCAGTCCTTCTTTTATTCTATATTTTGACTCAGGTGTAATGGCACACACCTGTAATCGCAGCACTCAGGAGGCTGAGGCAGGAGGATCGCTGTGAGTTTGAGGCCAGGCTAGGTTACATAGTGAGTTCAAGGCCAGCTTGGACTACATAATGAAGCCTTGTCTCAAAACACAAAACAACCTTTCAGCTATTTTATATTTTGAGACAGGGTTTCACTAAGTCACTACGTTGTCCAGCCTGGATTTGAACCTGTGACCCTCATGTCTCAGCCTGTCAGAATGCTGGGATTACAGATGTGTGCCACCACACCTAGCTTGTTTAGTTTTTGTGGCACTGGGCCCTGAACTCAAGGAGTACTGAGCTGCATCTCCAGCTTTTTATTATTAGTATTAGTATTAGTATTATTTTAAACTTTGAGACAGGGCCTCTAAATTGCCAGGGCAATCCTCCTGTCTCAGCACCACCACACTCAGCCTCCTCTAGGTTTTCGGTCCCCAGTGAGACTAAGTTCCTGGATCCCCTCGCAGTTGTATTTGAAATGTCCTGCGTGGGCGGAGAAGGGCATTTTTCGAGGTGAAGGCCCAGAGATGGTGGAGCATGTTCCCAGAGGGGTTACAGACACGGCAGAGTGAAGGCCCCAGCCCCCCGCCCCCACTCGCCCACTCACTCCCCGAGAGGGCGGAGCCCCACTGTGGGCACCCTGCCTCCACTCACTCGTGAAGAGGGACAAGGAAGAGGAGTCGATGATGGCGAATGTGGCTCCCGGGTCGTTCCGTCGCCACTGCAAGAGGAGAGAAGGGGAGGCAGGAGGTGCAGCTCCACGCGAGGGTGGGGCTTGGGGCCCGACAAGAGGGCAGGGCGCGGGGTGCTCACCGCGACCTCCACGTGGTCGGTGCCCTCGTCGTTCTGCTTGTGCAGCACCTCGAAGTAGTACCTGCGGGAGGCTGACAGGCTGCCAGGAGGGCGGGGAGGACACTGTCACCTCGGTGGGGCCTCCTGGCCCCCACCGCCTGCTCTGGGCACCCCAGGAACAAGCCATTCGGCCCTCGGGGCACAGTCCCCACCCTGCCACTGACTCACATGTCGCCATGACTCCCTTTTCTGTCTGTGGGCAGGGACAGGACCTGCCTCCCAGGGGAAGGGAACTCCGCGAAGTGACCACAGTCACCCTCCTGAGTAGGTGCTATTTCCCACAGTGTCCAAGTACTTTACGTACAGTAACTCACTGCCTGGCTATAAATGGGGACGCTGAGGTACAGGCGTTCCGATAATTTACCCGATAAGTCACCACGGGTGGCCCAGGCAGTCCTGTCCCAGAGCCCACATCCTGTGGATGTGCCGTAGCCAGCGCTCTGTGGAATTCCGGCCTTAACCACGCCAGCGACCACATTGCCATCTGTGCATCTGTGGCCACCAGGTGGCGCGACGGGGTCAGAGCCAGTCCCCTTCCCAGCATGTCAAGGGAACCCCAGCTACTCCAGGTGGATGGAGAAGGACTTGAGGTCCTTTCCCTTGGGAACTCCAGGTGGATGGAGAAGGACTTGAGGTCCTTTCCCTTGGGAACTTCTAGCAACAGCCCAGGAGGGCAGCACTGTCCAGGCTGTTACAGGTGTGGCTGTTTCTGGGATGAGGATGGGAAGGGCAAGGACCAGGAGAGAGGAGACCTGTTTTCTGGTCTTATCACTGGACAGATGTATGAACTTTAAATTATATCCCTCCCGGGCCTCAGTTTCCTCATCTGTAAAATGAGGAAGGATAGGCCAGATTTTTGCAAGCCACAGACTCCATGTATGCAAAAAGAGTGGGGGCTGGGCAGCCTGCACCCAAGAGGCAGGAAGGCTGTGCTGTGGGAGGATCCCGTGGGCGTCGGAGCAGAAGTGGCTTCTGCACTAAGGGGCTCAGGAGAATGCCTGCCTGTCACGGCCTCCTCACTCACCTCACTGGCTTGGAGATTTGACTCCGAAACTTTCCGAACTCTCCAGGGGCGGTCCACTCCTTCCCACTCTAGAGGTACACAGAGGACACAAAGAAAGACAAAGGTGGTAAGTGGTGAGGAAGGAGCAGGAAGGATACAAGTGAGAAGGACTCAGAGGATGCCCTTGCCCAGAGACGGTGTCTCCCAGGCCTGCCCTCTCCTCACCCTGCGGCACACCAGGCCATCCCCCTGCAGCCCTGGCAGGGCGCTTCCCACTGTTTCTACACCACAGCAACGGCTTGTGCCTCCCCGGCGACCAGCCCCCAGACACTGGGAGAGTCCAGGCTGCGCTGACCTACCTGGCCCACGCTGGCCAGCAGCTGCAGACCCTCAACCTGGTCATCATGGCTCAGCCAGAATTCTGCGTTGTCATCTGCAGCAATAGCAAACTGGATTTTCCCTGGGGCGCAGGAAAGAAAGTGCAGGTGAGGCAGGGAGAGCAGTGTGCAGGGCTGAAGGCCGGGCTGTGATTTAGGATTGAGTGCTCTTCACAGGCTTCATGCTCTTGGACGCTCTCTGCACATTGGGGGTTTCTGGGTCCCCGGGGGCAATGTGCGATGGGGAGTGAAGCATCAGCCTGGGGGAACTGGATGACACTGTGCATGCCTCAGTTTCCCTTCACCCTCTGATGATAGATCAACAGGGTCCAGTTAACCCAGTGCAGGGTTACTTCCCAGTTACTGTAACGGTTATGTGAGACTTTGGGGTTGCCTCACCATCGGTGAAGGGGTGCAGATAGCCAAAGATGCGGAGGCCATAGTTGGTCCATTTGGGGGACACAGCCAGCTTCCTCAGGGTTGTGCGGATCTATTGCAAGAAAAGGGAAAAATTGTTACCAAGAAGCAGGAATAGGAAATTGGCCTATTCAGGGCAGATGCGAAGACCAGGAAAGGAGTTTCACAGGAGGAATTCGGGCCATGGCTGGGTGAAGGGAGCACAGGTTAGATTCCAGCTCCCACTGTCACCTTATCCAGGTGACCTCGTACAGTGCACAGCTACAGGTGGTGGCCCTGGGTAAACTCTCCTGAGTACCACAGAGCCACAGTTAAAATGACGCGGTGGATGGAAGAGAAACTGAAAGACCGCTCGCTGGGAAGGAAACAAGGGAGATATTCTGGATGGAAGACAAAGAGATGAAAAATGTGGACCTGAAGAGAGGTAGGAAAAGATGAGGGAGGTGGGCAGAGGGAGACGAGAGACAGGAGCTGGCAGAGGAGCTGGGTGGGGAAGTGGGCACAGGGTACCACGGGACTCACATGTGGGTACAGGGGGAAGTGCAGGTTCCTCCTCAGCTGCTGGATGGAGCCACCACACCAGTCTTCAAACACATGCATGTTGGCGTGGCCCCGGAACTGCGGGCCAGAAGAGAGGGAGGTGGTGAGCGTGCACCCCACACCCACCCTGGGGCCCCACAGCCCAGGATCTCAGCACACAGGGCCCCAGCGCTGCGCTCTGGCAGACCACAATCCACTCCGGTCTATTCTGCTTGTGAATCCCAGCGCCAATATTCAGTCCTGCCACAGATTGGATCTGACATGTGGTGAAGGCTTGGCCCCCAGCCTTGGCACTAGGGAGAAGAGTGCAATTTAGGAGGTGGGGTCTAGTGGGAGGAAGTGCGGTCACCAGAGTGTGCCCTGGAAGGGACCCTGGGGCCTCAGCCCCTTCCTCTCTCTGCTTCCCAGATGCCATGAGGTGCACAGCCTCCTCCACCATGATGCACGGTGTCACCAGAGACCCAAGCAACAGGGACAAGGGACCACAGACTGAAACTTTTCCTCCTTATCAGTTCATTAGCTCAGCTATTTTTGTCACAGGGATGGAAATCTAATTCCTATGGCCCGGGCCTGAGATGGAGTCTGTCTCTCTGGCCATGTAGTTTTCCCTGTGTGGGCACACACGTGCACCTCCTTGCTGGTTCCTCCCATGCAGGAGGTGGCTGGCTTGTATTCCCCGAGAAAGAGAGACAGCCACAACAGAATCACAGAGATGGCAGTGGGACTGGGTGGGAGGAGATGGATTTCAGTGGGGAGGGGAGGGGCCGCTGCCTCTCCTGCCTGCCCCTGAGCCTAAGGGGGCAGCGTTCCACAGCTGTCTACTGCTGAAACCTTATCCACCCAGTGGTCTCCCGTCTGCCTGGGGGAGCAGCTGGGCAAGCTGCAGGAGGCATGTGGGAACCGTCCTGTCACCCCAGTGCATGATGGGAAGGCACTGCTACTCCCAAGCGCTCAGAGTCCTCACAGGTAGAGGCAGAAGCATCCTCCCTTCAGGCTGTGGCAGTGGTCAGAGACAGGACTAGGCTTGGGGGTCCCTTTGTCCTTTCTGAAGACAGGGCTGCAGCAGGACCAGCCCTCTGAGTGAGTGGGAGGGCTGGAATTTGAGAGAAAAGGGAACCGGGGATGTTGTCCCAATTGACCAGTTTTAGATGACCGCATCTCCTGTCTCTGCTCTCTCCCCCGAGCAGCACTTCCGAGCTCTGGGGCATGGGGCCTCATGACACTATCCAGACGGGCCTTCCCATCCCTCCTACTGTGGCCCATCAGGTACCCAAGTCTGAGCTCCCTTAGGAAGACTGGGCAGAGGTGGCAGAGAGCCCTGGATGACAGCGGATTAAAGGAAGCAGTGAAGCCCTCTTTTAAGTGCTAGGGGAGGGAGGGCTGGGGGTGGTGGGGAATGCAGAGGTCCAAGGTGGGCTGGCGGGGTGGACACAGCCCTACAGCTAGCCCCAGAAGAGATGCAGGACGGCTCGTCACTCCCTGGCCCTTCAGTAGCTTGGCATGTCCTGGGACTAGCCTGGTCCCAGTGGTAGGAATGTGGGATGTTGGGAATAGGGGTAGAGAGTGGGGGAGGATGGGGATGGGGACTGGTGGGAGGTGGGAGGTTATTTAAGGCTCCAGGGAAGAAAAGAATGGGGACATTGTGCTACCCGTGTGGAAATTCCTTAGGCCCAGTCTACAAGACTCAGTTGTCTTTTCCAAACAGCCTGCCCTCTGCCCCCTCTCTAGAGACTTTCAGGGGAGTGTGCTGTGATGCCTAGAAATGCGGGGGGAGGCCGTGTCAGAGGCCAGCTACCAGTAAAGGGTACAGGCCAGGGGCCACAGGGGTTTGGGCAGGAAGGGAAGATGCTGCCCCAACTCTCAAGACGTTTCCTGCTTAAGGAAGAGCCTGGGGTGCCACAGGAGCTGGACAGGGAGGAGTGGGCATACTGTTCCAGGGCAGAGGCCTTCCTGCCATGCTGCCCCTCCCCTGGGCTGTAGGTAAGGTGTCTCAGAGACCTGTGACAGTCTTTCCCCCAACTCCCGGGCCTTGTTGGTGACCCCACCAGAACTTGTATTGCTACAAGTTTTGGTGACTACATCTGGCAGGGACCCCAGGAAACAACACTGCCTAGTGCCTGTTCTCTTCCTGGTCCATCAGGGCGAAGGCCTTGGGAAGGGGCCTCTAAACACCAGCGCACATGTGCAGCCAGCAATCCTGTTTCAGACCCTCCAGTTCAAAGCAGAGGAAGCCAGGCATGGCAGTGCACACCTGTAATCCCGGCTCTTTGGGAGGCTAAGACAGGAAAAGGGCAAGTTCCAAGCCAGCTGGGCAACTCAGTGGTACCCTATCTCCAAAGAGAAGCTGAGGCCGGGGACTGTGGCTCACTGCAGGCATTTCCCCAGTGTGGGAACAGAAGAGAAAGTGCGGGAGAGATGTATGTCAGAAGAGGCTCGCTTTTAGAGGTAGACACTGCAGCTTAGAAAGGCAAACTGACCTCTTGGAAGCAAGGAGGGTAAATGGGACTACAATCAGGAGGGCAAGCCCAGTAGGTGTGTAGGGGACAGTCCTCACCCTGGCTATCGCCTGCCCTCTAGCTCCACCTCTGCCCAGCTGAGGTCCTCCCGAGTGGGTCTCACCTTCTAATGCTGAGCCTTGATCAAGTCACTCTGCTGCCTCAACCCTCAAAGGGCCTCAGAATAAAATCTCTCCCTTTCACGACTGGCCTACCTTTCTGGCCTTGCCTGTGACCTCTCTGTGTCGTGGCCGGCCGTACTCCACCCAACACCAAACTCCCTGCCTTCACCAACAATGTCCTACTCTTTGACTTCGCCATGCTTTGACAAGTACGTGGTCCTGGTGGACATGTCCTGGTGGGAGATGTCCTTTCCTTTCTCCTCCATGTAGCAAACTCCTATTCCTCCCTGAAAGCTCTTCTCAAATATTCCCCTTGTAGGCCAGGAAGAGTCGACAGCATCTCCTGCTGTGTTTATTTCTTTGACTCTCAATTATTTGAGTGAACAAATGTTTGCAGAAACTGATCCCCGAGTAATGTGTCCCTGGATTTATTCTGAAAGCACGGAGTGCTCTGCATCACTTAAAGCTTTTTCGAAAGAGGGATGTGCTCAGAAGTAGGGCATGTTGGGGTTCCGGGTTCAACCCCCAACACTACAAAAGAAAGAAAATGAAAGAGCAGCAGTCCTGTAAGGACACAGCCACGGGAAGGTCAGAAGCCCACGGCGAGTGTGAGCACGCCTGACCTTGCTGTGCCAGGCTGCTGCCCGTCACCTTGAGAGCCGTCAACCAGTACATCTGGCAGCAGCTTGGCTCAGGGAAGCCTCACCCGCAGGCAGGGTGGACCGCAGCCCTCCAGGAGATAGCCCTGGGCCAGACTCCTGCTCCAAGCCTGCAGAAACTCTATCTAACTCTATCTACCTTGCTTTCTGCTGGTGACACGGGGGGGTGGATCTCCAGCCTGTACGTGCAAGGCAAGCCCTCTGCCCCTGAGCCTCACCCAGCCCTGGCCAACTCTCCTTGGGGAAGACTCCCTGATGGAATGGAAGGAACTGGGTGCCATAAAGACGAGGGTAGCTCTGGAGCCTGAGGAAGGCCACAAGTTCATGCAGCGAGATCCTAATGCGTGGAATATCCCTACTCAAACAGAATGAACTGATGTGCCACAGGTTTCTTACTAAGGTGACCAAAGCGTATGGAATATAAGGCAAACTAAGACGGCAGTGATTTGGGGCTCTGAAAAGAGCGAGGACTGAGCCACACAAAACACTTGTACATACATGTTCACATTAATCAAATGAGTCTCCCCCTCAAAAGCAACAACACAAATGTCCCCAACAGAGGAGTGAATAATAAAATGTGACCAGCTGGGCACAGTGACAAATGTCTGTAATCCCACCACTTGGGAGGCTGAGGCAGGAGAATCATAAATTCAAGGCCAGACTGGGCTGCATGGTGAGTTCAAGGCCAGCCTGAACTGCATGGTGAGTCCCTATCTCAAACAACTAACTGGTGACCTGCTATGGTCAGCCTATGAAACTTTCATGCCAGGGGAGCCAAGTGGAGGCGGAAATACGTGGACAGGCTGAAGCCAGAAGCAGAAGGAAGAGCAAAGCACCAAGCATATTGCCGGTTTGTGAACTATGGATAAACCAAGGAGCGGAGCCCAGGGAGGCGGAGGCAGGGAGCTGGTGTGGTTGGTGGGGTACCTGCTGCTGTCTAGATCTTGTCTCTCAATGAGCTAGCCCTTCCATCATCATCAGGTCACCAGGACCACCTCTGAGAGGTCCCCTTGCTCATCCCAAACAGTCCTTGTTGGCTGACTGTCCTGGATCTGGGATGTTCAGTTCTCGGTCAAGGTCTGGCGTATCATGAATACAGTGTCACCCTGTCTGCTCTTACACAATGGCAGCTTTGCGGCCACAGATATCTGCCTCAACATGAACAACCTTTAAAAATATCATGCCATCTGAACAAAAGCCAGTCACAAAGGACCATGTATTGTACTGTCCCATTTACATGGAATGTCCTAGGCAAATCTAGAGACAGAAAGCAGATGACTGCTAAGGGCCAGGGGATGAGGTAGGTGATGAGGGTGACAGCCAGGGATGGCATTTCTTCTCTGGTAATGAAATGTCCTAAGATGACTTTGATGGAGTCTGTGGCTGTACCAAAGCACAATTTAAATGAGTGGACTGATGTGAAATAGACCTCAGCGGAACTACAAAAAAGTTACACAAGCCAGGTACATGCCTATGGTTGCAGCCCTCAGGAGGCTGACGAGGAGGATCACTGAGGTTTGACGCCTACTTGGGCTACACAGTGAGCTCAGGGCTGTCTGCACTACATAGCAAGATCCTGTCTCAAGTTGAAAGAAAAATGGACCCTGCGTGTGAGCCCCAGCACTGTAAAAGAAAGAAAGAGTGGGGAAAAGACCAAGGAAAGCCTAAAAACAAGAGTCTGTGTCCTTGCCCTCTCCACAAAGAAGACACTGCCTTCCTAAAGCCCATATGAATAAAAATAACCCACAAACTTTCTGACCTGCGAGGACATGACTGTACATATTTCTTCTTCTAACTATTTGGGCTTGGGAGGGAATGTGCTGGGTAAGTGTTCTGGTCAGTGGAACAGGCTGGCATTAGGTCTTGTTAGTGTCCTGTGATTTGGATGCATACAAGGAAGTTAGGGAGACTCTGTTGCTGTTTTGTTCCTGTGGTGTTGGGAATGGAAGCCAGGGATCCTTCAGTGTTAAGCTAGATCCTCAGCCCTGCTTATTTATTTATTTTAGTTAGACAGGATCTTGCTATGCAGTACAGGTTGGCCTTGAACTCACAGCGATACTCTTGCCTGAGCCTTCTGAGTGCTGGGATTACAGGCATGTGCCACTACACCTGGCCTTATTTTTATTTTGAGACAAGTTTGCTCAGGGTGGCCTCAAACTTGCAATGTTCCTGCCTTGGCTTCCCGAGTAGCAGGAATTACAGGCACGCACCACCATACCTGGCCATGAATATATTTTTGAGGACAGCTACTCTATGAAACCTGGCCCCAGCCATGCAATGTGATCTGCCCCTGTCGAACACACCAAGGAGACACGCCAGGAGACACCCTTGTCTGTGTGTGTGTGTGTGTGTGTGTGTGTGTGTGTGTGTAACTCTGAGAGAATGAGCAGCCAACTGAAGATGAAACAGCACAAGAGACCACAGTCACCCTTCCCAGTCTGTCTTTGTCACTTTTAGAGCAGGGTGTGTACTAACTCTGTGGCCTTGAGGTCAACCTCCCTGAGCCAGTAGCCAAGGAAAGAAGGTAACAGTCCGATCTGAGAGCTCCTGACTGCTAGGAGGTGTTCAGTAAATGGTCTGCACTGCTAACCAGGGAACTCACTACCGTCAAAGGCAGCGAGGCAAACATGGAGGTGCACTGACTGGAAGGGCTGGAACCCTGTGAAGCAGTGACACCACTGTCACCTGGCCTCTCCCTCTTGGCACTGGTTCTCTGAGGTAGTAAAGTAAAGGACTGACGCTGTGCTGGGCTCAGTGGGGACTGACAATCTCAAACGCATGAGGCCTACGTTTCAAAACCACCAAAAAAAAAAAAAAAAAAAAAGGAAGAAACAGATTACAGCGCAGGATCTCTGATTCCCTGGAGATCCATGAAAACTAAAGAAGCTCTTTGAACTACTGTTCATATACATAAAAACGAAATCAACAAAAATTGGTCATTCACCACCAAAAAGGTCCCCCACGTGTATTAAAATATCAAATACTGCATGAGGGAGAGGGAGAGGGAGAGGTGGGGGGGAGGGAGAGAGAGAGATTTTAAAAGGGGGAGTAGGAATATTGCTTAGTATAAAGGCTCTAGGTTCAAATCCCAATATCACAAGGAAAAAAAAAAAGAAAAATTAGTCCTGTCTTTTGTTAACTGTTTCTTTAAATCACATATTCATAAATACATTTATATCCCTGATTGACAAGAAGTGGGGAAACTAATTACTCATAGATACAGAACAGTATGTAGCTATCTTTAAAAATAATTAGCTCACTAATAAAAAGGACCCAAAGCTGCCCTTAAGAGAGAAAGCTGGATCACCAAGCCAGGTGATCTTTAAGGATATTTCTCTTCAAAATATTATCTCCAAGTAAGGTGGGCACAGTCACCGGAGAGTGTCATTTGGTAGAGATATGCCAGGGCTGGGGCTGGGGCTTAGCTCAGCGGCATAAGCGCCTGTCTTGCAAGCAGGCAGTCGTGAGTTTGATCCCTGGTACCGATAAAAAAAAAAAAGAAAAAAGAAAAAAGACAAAAAAAAAAAAAAAAAAGAGAGATATGCCAGGGCTGTACTATACCCTTTCTGGGGGCGTTAAGAAAAGGTGATTTCCCAGCATGGACGACCTAGATCACACCGAGCATGGTCCTCCCTTTGCTCTTGCCCCTGAGCATGTGAGTGGACTGCAAACCAAACCACCCAGGCTGGCGAAATCTATCCATCTATCGGGGGAGGTGTGAGTAGACACTGGGCCGGCCCACACCAGCAAGCCGAGAAAAGTAATCTATGTCCACAGGATCCAGACAAAAAAACCCGGGCTTCTAATACGACAAACCCAAAGTGTAAATGAATTCAAGAGCAAAATAAAAGCTAGATAATAGGAAAAGGGAGACAGAAATTTGCAGATAGGAAGAGGACCAAAGATGGAGGAAGAGGGAAGTAAAAAGCATCACAATGTGTTATATACCTGTGCCAACTCCCCCAGTCGTTATATATTGCAAACATGTGCTAATAAAAATTTTAAAGTTAAAATTAAAAAATTCAATGATTAGGAAAAAAAGAGAGTGGGCCGGGGATTTAGCTCAGCAGTTCAAGCACTTACCTGGTGAGCACAAGGTCATGAGTTCCATCCCTGGTACCACAAAAAAAAAAAAGCAAACACTGGCTCTAAACAAGTCATAAACCAGGTGGAGTGGCACACACCTGCTCTCCCAGCACTCAGGAGGGTGAGGCAGAAAGACCACCACAAGTTCAGATCAGCCTGGGCTACAAGTGAGTTCGAAACCAGCCTGAACTACATAGTCACAAAACAAACAAACAAATAAATTGGTCATAAAAGAACAAAACCAAAGTGAAGATTTTCGCCCTCAAACTCCATGCTGCCAGAGTCTTGGCACAAGCACTTACTCAAAGTAATTTGTGCATGATCATTAATTTTCCTGAGCAGAAAAGAAAAAGGATTTCGAAGCCTATAAATGAGGGTATCGTGACAGTTATTTTTGGCTTTGCCTTTCTGCAGCACTGAAGACTAAAGTCAGGGTCTCAGGCATGCTTGACAAACGCTCCACCACTCAGCTAAATCCTCAGCCCAATGTTGGTTTTTTTCTCCTCCTCCTCCTCCTCCTCCTCCTCCTCTCCCTCCTCCTCCTCCTCCTCCTTCTCCTCCTCCTCCTCCTTCTTCTCCTCCTTCTCTTCCTCCTCCTCCTTCTTTTTTAAATAAACACAAGGTCTCACTATGCTAGTTAGGCTGGGCTCAAGCAATCCTCACGCATGTATCTTCCAAGGAGCTGGGATGGCAGGTGGGCACCACCATGCCGTTATGATTTTCACTACTTTCTAAAGCATTTTCTAAAGCAGAATTTCCTAATGCATATTCCTTAGAACACTAATGTTACAGAATACTAATATGTACTTCATAGAAAAAACAGTTTAGTGAGTAAACAAGTTTAGCATATGTTGAGCAAAATCCAGATCACTGCAGAACTGATCTTTCATATGCTAATGTCCAGGCCAGGTGGTTGGCGCATGCCTATAATCCCAGAACTTGGAAGACTGAGGCAGGAGGATCACTGCTAGTCCAGGCCAACCTGGGCTATGGAGTGAGTTCAAGGCCAGCCTGAATCATACAGTGAGACTCTACCTAAAATAAATAAACAGAGAAAAACTAGATGCTAATGTTCATTTACAAGGAGATGTAGCCCGCACTATTTTTGTTGTTTTGGTTTTTGTTTTTTTTTTAATCGGTACTGGGGATCGAACTCACAACCCCCTCCTTGCAAGGCAGCCTGAGCTAAATCCCCAGCCCATGTTTTAGGTTTTTTTTAAAAGGCGTATTTAACAATAGAGTCCTCTCTCTTCTGGCAATATCTTGTGGGATTTAATGGTCCCAGAAAGATAACTGGAGAAGTTTGTTATCTTTAAGACTAGGGATTGGTTCCATATCCAAATGAGTGTTTAAAAAAAAAAAAAAAAAAAAAGACTGGGGATTGGTATGGCCATAAAAACCTTAAAGATAACGCATTTCTCCCTAGCTTGGCTTTTTCCACTATAAAACAATGATAATGGGGGCTGGGGATTTACTTCAGCGGCATAAGCGCCTGTCTTGCCAGCAGGCAGTCGTGAGTTTGATCCCTGGTAACGGTAAAAAGGAAAAAGACAAAAAAAACAATTATAATGGTTTTAGAGTCTGAACCTGAAATGTCCCCTGAGACCCAAAAGCTTGCTGCCCAGACTGTACCACTATCAGGAAGAGGTGAAACCTTAGGAGGTGAGGCCTGGTGGGAGGCAGCGAGGTCCCTAGGGTGTGTCCTCAGGGACCTTGAGATCCCAGCCCCTTCCCCTCTCTGCTTCCCAGATGCCATGAGGTGAGAGCCTCCTCCACCATGATACACTGCGTTATCACAGAAGCAAAGCAACAGGGACAAGGGACCAGGGACCGAATCACTGAAACTGTGAGCCAAAATAAAATTTTCTCCCCTATACGTTGTTTATATCAAGTGCTTGTTACCAAGATGGAAAGCTAACACAATGACTTTTTTTGTTTGTGTTCTGTTTTGTTAAGACATTGCATAACCCAGGTTGGCCTCGAACTCAGCAATTTTCCTGTCTCAGCCTGGGACAGGCGCCTCTATGCCCAGCCACAATGACTCCATAGGGTCAAAAGACTGAGTGTGCTACACAGTAGGCCTGGAGCAAATGTTTGTGCTCTCCCTGTAAAGGAAGAAAACCAAATGAGCATGGAACCCGGGGTGGGGAGTGCTGGGAATAACCACCGGAAGGTTTTCCTGATCTCTGGGACTATCTTTTTTCTTTGTTTGTTTTGGAACTGGGGATCAAACCCATGACCTCCAGCCTGCCAGCCCAGTATCTAGAATTATTTTTAAAAAGAAAGGAGGGAAGGAGGGAGAGAGGGAAGAAAGGAAGGAAATTTAACCTTCTCAAAGATCAGGACTGGCAGAGTCCCCTACCTCTGACAGCCAGGGCACAGGCTTATTCCACTTCAGGTAGCTGCTGTTCCTGCCTCCACTTCGATCAACTTCTTGGTCCTAGTGGAAGAATGAAGAATGGATTCAGTGGAACTATCAGGGTGCAAAACATACCTGAGGGCAAGAAGGGAAGTCATAGCCCTGACCACACAAAGCTCAATGGCCAAGGGGGTCCCCCACTTGTTAGTTATACTACATTTCTCAAGAGAGCGGCCCCCACTACCTCACCAGTGTGTGCTCTGAGGTCCATCCACCGCCCTGAACTTTCTCAATCTGTTCCATGTGGGAAAGATAGTTTTTAAATTAAATCAGGAACTTTGTCTTCCTCTATTTCTCCTAGGTCCTAGCCCAGATTTGTCACTCCCTGTCACACCCAGTGGAAGGCCCAGAGAGCCCACACCCTCTGTGCTGCACAGGTTCAAAGGCTCAGTCTTGGGGGTCTGTGTCTGTTGTAAACTCCAGCCTGAGCTGGATCCCACTTTTCCTATTCTACCCCTTTTGGGACCAATGGCCCAAGAAACACTACCATCACCCCATCACCAACTGTACCCCCAGCTACTTGAAGAAAGGGGCATCTGTCTACCTTATTCTCCCTGGTTCTCAGCAGCAAGCACCTGGTATTGTCACCAAGCTGTGGCCTGGGCTCTATGCCAGGGAGTGCCGGACATCCTGGTCAATACTCGGGACATGCTGTTTGGTTTGCTCTTTTCGTTTTTTATTGGGAGTGCTGGGGATGGAACTTGGGGCCTTGTGCAGTACCTGTTAAGCAACTGCTGTACCATTGAGCAGCACCCCAGCTCAGGACTCGCTACTTGAGATGGAGGCCACATGCGTGCGGAGCTCAGACATAGATGGACATCTCTAAAGATGTAATGAAAACAGAAACAGGACAACCTAGCCCAGAGGTAGCATGAGCTTTGAGGAGCACAGGACAGACATTTCTGCATGAGGTAGGAAATCACAGATGCCACACTGGGATTCCACTACAGAAGTGGAGGGTTTCCTCACAGCCACTGGGGCAGGGGAACTGACGGCCCACGTTAACACACCAGCCGGGAAAAGGGCCGGCCTTGCCACATACCTTGAGGTTCACCCTCTGGGGATGGTAGAACTGGAGATTTGGGTCCACGGCTGGGATGTTCCGGCTGGCCAAAGCCTTGGCTAGTTCTCTCCAGTTGGCATACCCTGTGGGAAGAAGGGACAGAAAAGCAAGGTCAACATAATACAAGGGCCTGTACATCTGTAAAATGGTGGGCTGGCGATAACAAAGGCATTTGCTTCCCTCCTGCTCCTCACTCGTGGATGGGAAGGGAGACAGTTATAAAGCAGCTATACAGCCCCTTAGAATTCACCGCCTTCCCTGAATCAGAGGAGCCTGTCTGTTGACCCACTATGGGCTGAGCCTTCACTGGCTGCTGCTGAGGGCCTATTTCTCCCCAGAAGCTGCTGAGGAGAAATAAGTGAGAAAGGAAACACTCTCTCTCTTCCAGCTTGGTTTCTTCCAAAGCAGCAGCGAGGGGTTGCTATTGAGGGGGTAGGCCTCTTCCTCCCCTACCCCTAATCACTAATCAAAGAGTTGCTGGAGAGAACCAGAGCAGTGGGAGACAGGAAAGAGTGCGCCTGAGACTCGGTGTTTGCCAAACAAATATAAACTCCTGGAGTGTAAGTTTAGAGGGCCAGCTAGTGGAGCCTGCATGTGACAGATGAAGTCTACTCTGGAGGGCTCTGGAACCCCTGGACTTGCACACATCTGAGAAGGCAAAAAGCCAACCCGTGGTGAGAGGGAGGAGGGTAAGGAAATTGCTGGGTGCACAGAGACATTCTCAAACAAGCGAAGAGGCAAGCACTGTGCTGGGGAGGAAAGAGTCAAGTATGGCTGGAAATTCTCAAGGCTATTTCCAGGGTCACAGCCTCCTCCTATAAGAAGATGGCCTGGGCGTGGCTACTGGGCCTTGAATCAATGGACCATAAACTGTATTCCAATTGTTAGCCATAAACCGTAATATTGGGCCATCAGAAGTTAGAATGAACTTTTGAGATCTGTTCACATTCCAGATAAGGAAAATTGGACTCAGGCTTAGCAAATAGTTACCAGGCTAACACCAGATCCAGGGTTCAGAGGGATTTCCCCTAGGCTGCTCTTTTATCTCTGCAGCTGTGTTAAGATGTGCCATGAGGATTGGAGGACCAGGGGAAGAGAGAAAAAGGCCACACCAGGAAGCAAGCCCAGTCTGGGAACCAGTGCCATGCATGGGCCGCTGCTGGACCAGGAACAGCCAGACCCCAGCGCCTTCCGGTGCACAGGTGGGCAAACGAGAAGTATCAACAAACCCGCCACCTCCACCCACCACCACCACTCCAGCCCTGTAAGCAACTGGCTTACGTGGAGAAACACAGGCTGTGATGGTAGCTGTGGAGGTGAATGCAGTTGGATGCCTGTGGTGCTTTGGTGCTTCACTAACATTGCAGGGCTAGGGCCAGTGGTCTGATTACAGGTTCAGAGGATATCCGTACGCAGTGTGGCACCTAGGGGGGAATCTCCTGAGGGCTGCAGCCACTGTTGACTCCCTATGGTCTTGTTTTGAAGTCCTTTACCATTTCCATTGTTTTGTTGAGTTGAGTTTTATCTTCTTTTGTTTTGTTTGCTTATGTCAAATCTGATGGCAGGAGCAGCTATTTCAAAGATAGCAAGATATGGTAGCAATTTTGGATTTACTATTGGCTTGTTTGAGATCCTTTATTGCATTCATTGTTTTGTTTTTATTGTTCCTATTCTGTTCTTTTCTGTTTGACTCTTACTATGTCCGAAGTTATCTGCAGCTATTTGGAAGACATCAAAAGGCACTGTTGTTGATTTTGTAATGTTTTAAAGTCCTGTATCTCTTACACAGGTTTGTTTTGATTCTGTTTTATCCTCTATTAAAAGAAAAAAAAAAAAAAAGATGGGCCATGAAGCTGGGCTGTGGCTCCGAGGTAGAGCGAGTGCCTGGCAGAGGTGAGGAACATGACACAAAAGGACACTGGCCACCTGTGACGGAAGGGCAGAAGGTGGAAGCAGAAATCAGAAGTCAGTGGCTGACAGGAAGCAGGTGTCACAGGATCCCCAGGTGGGCACCAGTATACACTCAGCCAGCCAACCCGACCCAGAATGCAGAGCCCTACTCACGAGGACGGGCCTCACAGAAGGTGGACATTGATACCGTGCCACAGTGGTGCTTCCAAGGGGTGGGAAGGCAGGTGGGAAAACCACGAGGTGGGAGTGCTTTTCTTTCTTTCTTTCTTTCTTTTTTTTTGTCTTTTTCCTTTTTATCGATACCGGAGATCAAACTCATGACTGCCTGCTTGCAAGGCAGGCACTTATGCCGCTGAGCTAAATCCCCAGCCCCCGGGAGTGCTTTTCTAACAAGGTCTGTTTCTAATCCCAAACTAACATGGTTGTTATGTTTTATGTGGCCCTTTGGTGTTTACGAAACAAGCACAGGCATAACCTCTTGAGCCAATTCTTGTGAGATAGGCCAGGAATGAATACCCCTGCTTTATAGGTGAGGAAACTGAAGCTCAGAGCCAGAATAAAAGACACAGGCCACAGCTGGCTCAGAAGCACATTTCTGTTTTCTTCTGTACCAGGAATTGAACTCATGACCTCACGCTTGCCAAGCAGATGCTGTGCTGCTGAGTCACTTCCCCAGCCCCACATTCTTTCTCACAGACTGGTTTGCAGTTCCAGGCTGATTCTTCGACTGTTTTACTGTAAGGTCAACGAACTGTAATTGTGGACCTTTGTCCTGGCACCTACTGGGAAATGACAAAAACTTTCTCTTTAGCCCAACTTTAAGGCAGCTCTTCTAAGGTCTCTACTTGTGTGGCCCTTAGGGCTCTGTCCTAGGCCAGTCCTGCCCTGTCTAGCAAGAATCTCTGTGATCACCATAGATATATCTGATCAGGTTCCTCATACCCTCTCCTATACCAAGAGTCCTGGTGGGGCCAGTTAAGCAAGAATGCCCTGGGTATCTGGCTAGACATAATCTTGGTGTTCATGAGGCTGAGGCAGGAGGATGGCTGCAAGTTCAACGACAGCCTGAGGTACATGGTGAGACTTCTGCTCATCTGAATGAATGAATGAATGAATGAATGAATGTATGAATAAATGAATGATCGCTCGGGTGCCTCTTCTTAGGATCTGTTTGTCAGTTAACCCCATTCTCTGGTCTTATTGGCTATAAATCCTCAGCCATGTCTGCTGTACTCAGAGTTGAACTCAGGTCTATGCTGATGTCTCTTTTCTGTTATAACAGTGTGGGATAAAATCTGTCACCACCACTGTTAGCCAGTGAGCAGTTCTATTTCTCTTTAACAGAAGACAAGAGGTGCTCTCTTCATGAGCCAGGACAAATACTACGGAGATGGAGGGGGTGCGCACACAGGGAGGAAATTCAGTGAAGGTGACCTTGCCAGGGCCTGCCCTTAGGTCACAGGTGTGTCTGGTAGTTCCAAGATACCTGGAATTGGAATGGGCAGCAGCCCAGCCTTTAGTAATTTAAGCAGAAGGGCTTCTCTCTGCAGGCTTTGCTAATCACAGAAAGAAAGATAAGCAAGGCTCTGGAGTAGGGGAGACCTGATTTTGTTGGGCTGCCTATCAACTGTGGCTGCTTGAACTTGTAATTGCACCTCTTTGGCCTTGATTTCTTGGTTTGTACGGCGAGGAGAAAATACCTGCCCTAGGACTGATGTGAGCGTCCAGTTGCATACATCAGACCCCGCAAGGGATCTGACAGCCAGCATCACTTGGTGAGCACTCTTTCTTGGATTTGGGAGTCTGTAAATTGCATCGAGCCCGTGGCGCTCAGGCTCTCTTCTCTCCATGCTTATGGGCCAGAGAATAAGTAGACTGAGAGCCAGGAGCAACTCTGCGGTGGCAGAGAGACAGGTGACCCCTCCTCTTTGTTCTGTGGGCATTGCTTTGTCCCCACCACCCACGGCCTCTCCACAGCCCCCACCGACATTCACTAAGTGCCTGTTACATGTCAGGCACTGAGCCACATATTTGGACCTTTCCTCCTCCCCAGCCTCGGCCTCTGTGTTAATCCTGCCAGAGGATACCCAGGCACCGCTTGGTCCCCTGGGGAACTCAGAGCTAAAGAATGTGCTGATTTAACCATTGACACTTGTCACTTGCCCTCTGTAAGTGAGCGCCTTCTGCTCCTGGCCAGACCTCTCCTCCCACAGCACCAGCTGCCAGACCCTGTTTCTCCTGCAACAGGTGTCACATTTGTGCCAGGGGACAGACACCCGGATCTCAGGTGACAGATAAAGCACACCGTGCTGGCCTCATATTCTGCCCTCACAAAGCTGGGCTATCAAATTTACCATCAGCATGGAGCTCTGCCAAAACTCCTCCTCCCAGGCAATGCGGCCTCTTCAAAGGCCTGAAGATTATCATCTTGGCTCTTAGGTGAAAATATGGCACACATATACCCCTTGATGCTTTTTTTTTCTCTCTAGAAACTCACATGCTTTATTTCATTGTCCTCTCAATCTGCCTGTTAAGTGTTGTCATCTCCATTTTAGAGATGAAGACACAGAAAGGTTATCAGCCCAAAGTCACACAGGATTCCAATGATCCAAGGTCACATAGAAATGTGATAATACATCCACATTAGGCTAGAAACAATCAGCATTTAACCTCCTGCACCTCATTATCTTCACTGTTAGTCATTGTGTTGTGGGTCTGGAGCTTGCATTTCTCCCTCCATCTGACACTCTTACCTACATAACATGTGGTCAACACAGTCACCCACGCTGACAGGCTGCTACTGCTATGGATCCCAAACTGCAATGACAGGCCTGGGTTCCTACCCCATTCCCAGGGCTGAAACATATCAAAGCATTTTCAACTTGACAGAGAAGGGCTAGGCTATAGCTCAGTGGTAAAGCACTCATCTACCATGCACAAGACCCTGGTTTTCATACCCAAACAAAAATAATTTCACATGCAAAAGGTTCAAACTAAATTTGCATGTAGGTACAATGTCCAAAGACTTGTTAGTAAAGACCCTGGGCTACCTAGCCGATTTCAACACACCAAAGCCAGACCTTCTACAGGAAAATTCTATCAGCATTCAAGCCTCTACCAACACCCAATAGGGCATTTTACAAGGTACATGGCATAATAGATTGTTTTTGCTCCAAAGTAATTATAGGGATAGCAACACGAATAACCGCTAACACTGATGAGCACTTATTATAGGCAAGGCACCAGCCAAAGAGTTTTATTTTACCGTGCAAAGGGTCAATTAAGGTCCACACATCACATGTCACATTGTGGTGAGGAGCAAGGGAGCCCAGTACACACAAGAGAAGAATATTGTCAGGCCCAAGAAAGTCTGATTCACCTCAGCCCGCACTCTCCCATTTTCTTTCTTGTTTGTGGGAAATAGACTTTACCTATCTATACACAGAATTGGAAGTAAACAGCCCAACCCAATAATGAAGGAAGTCTACCCATAATGGGGCAATCGCTGAGGTAAACGGGTAAAATCCTACCCCGCCCCAAAATTCACCAGCTTCCTCTATCAGTAGGGAGGCTCAAGAATGCCAGCAAGTGAGCTGGACCCGGGCGAATGCCTGAGAGAGACGCAGGGCAGGGGGTGGGATTGAGGGTGCCGAGAATCAAGCAGAGGTCTTGGGGGGCCAGCAGCCCTGCTCCACTGGGAAGGGTTTGCACCTTCCCTAGCTGCAGGGAAGTGACCTGAAAGGGGGAAGCAGTAGCCCTTCGGGGCCTGCGAGGAGGGCTGGTTCCACCTGTTCCACCAGATGCAAAGGACCTGAAGATCCAGGATGAGGGCAAACTTGTGCAGAAGCCCCAGGGTCTGTACAGAGAACTGCTCCCCAGAGATTGAAACTGCAGAGAGAAAAGGTGATGAAATCCAGTGACGCCAGACAGACCAAGCTCTTGCCCCATAAGAGAACAGGAGGCTGGCAAGGGATAAGAGGCCATGGCACCCAGGACTCGGTTCTGCGTAGCCAGGAAGCAGCACTGATCCAGGAAGAGAAAGCAGGGGCCATGGCTCTGTCCTTGGAGAGCACCACAGCGCCAGCCACACATCCCCAGAGGACAAACCTGCTATGACTCGAAGCCAGCAGGGCCTGAGCCCCACCAGAATCTGGTAGTGACACAGTCAGTCAGAATGAAGGCAGGGGCTGCCACCTGCGGGGAAGTCTCCACAGCAAACCCAAGGCTCCAAAGGCAGAGACGGGCGTGGTTTTCCTTCCAATATAGGGCACCCCAGGGAACTTGATGCAAT